TTTATAGTTTCAGTGTGTTGAAGCAGCTAGCCCACTTTGATATTTTAGTGCATATTGTTAGCATTATTTCTGCCAAACAGATTAGTCTTCTATCTCCTAACAATATGCCAAGGCTCTCAAGCTTTTTCATTTATGCCCGGTGAATTTTCTGGCTTGTAATTATTGTATAATATCATAATTAGCTTAATGTAGAATCAATCTCGACCACATGTGAAAACAACTTTTCTTTTTATTTTTACATTGCATTAAAATTTTGCACTATGCTTTGTGGCATGGTGCCTTCAAGTGAGGACAGAAAAAGCTTTTCCAAGTGGCCAATAGACGGCAGATGGTATGCTACTTCACCTCCACTCATTCGAACGCCAAGCAGCAGTTCATAAAAGTAAATAATTTTCTACTTGCAAAGTTTTGCCAAAGCATCGAAACAAAAATAATTTTTAGTTTGTTCTATCCATAAACGAATTATTAGCAATCAAAATTAAGAAATTATTTCCTTATTTGTTTCGTTGATGCTCACTATATCTGTCCTCAAATGGGAACAGCACAGCCCTCATTTGCTTCACGCACTGTCAACTTTTGCTCACAAGACACGTCGACTTCGTATGCTTATGAGTTTTGTATCGCTCTGTATTCTCTTCGCAGGAATGAGAAAGTCTAGACAAGTTTTACCTGACAAGCGAAGAAATTTAAGCAATTTTAGACATAGCCTGATGACAGTGCTCATTGTCCCCAAAAAGATGGTCTCGAAGAATGAACAGCGCTGTTGCAGCAAGACACGCTATGCCTGTAGGTGTTGCAATGTCCCACTTTGCCCCAAGTGCTTTGCATCGTTAGACGTTCACGTCTGTTTTCCAGTGCTGCAGGATTTTGTTTAGTATTGTAGTACGGACACAAAAAAGTGATAAGGTGTTCTAGTTCAAATGCTCTAATCATTTTGATTTTAAAAATTTATAGCATAACACCGAAAATGAGATTACCTGACCACTGGAATGCATGTCGTCCTGAAATGAGGACACATCCGTTCTGCTTAAGCAAAATATATTTTTAAGTAAAAAAATATTTTAATTTTCTGAACATATTATGTACTTAACATGCATGAGAAGGTTAACCCCCTAAATGCCAAATTGTTTTTCCAAAAATAACTTAAAAGTGCCATATTTTTTATTTTGAATTATTTTTCTAGTATTAGACATTAAATTTGAAAAGTTTATTATGCAAAAATTAGCGGAGGCGAAAAAAGTATTTGCCAACTAAAACAAGTGCTGCCATCTATGATCAGCGCCGCAAAACTACTTGGACGAGCCTAGCTCGTCCATGGAATTGGCGGCTATCAGAAAAACCACTGGACGAGCTCCGATCGTCCATGGCATTTTTAACCAGAAAGTGGCCGACGAGCTCAGCTCGTCCAAGGCACTTAAGGGGTTAATGCCCCTCAATTCTTTTTTTTTTCTAACTTTAATTTGTGTCAATGCTTATTTAGGTTTATTTATTTAGCTTTTTTCAGATATATTTACTTATTTATATTCTGGCCTTCGAGGCTGCGACAGATCCCCGATCCAAACCCTTAGGCAAAATGTTTGTAGACTTCTTGGTCTAGAGCAGTTTGCCTGCATTTGCAGACACGGTTGATGCGTGCAACAGCCTCCGTTCTAACACGGCAACAGCATATCGCTTGGCTACGGCTTATTGTTTGGCTGACGAAGCATGCTTTATGTTTTGAACCACACGTCCCCTGTCCAGTGCACTCTAGAGCATAGGACGGTGACGCACAAAATTGTTGCTAGGGGTGATGCAGGGTGACACAACGAGCATTACAACTCTGCCGTCTTTAAAACTAAACTGAACATCGGGGGCACTGCTAGACGCTTCAAATACCGTGGTAGTGCCACGCACCTGCGCAGTACAGCGGTGGCATTGTGCCTTGCAGCGGGGGCATGTGCGGCCAGCCGACACCGCAGCACCCGGCTGGGACCAGCGGCGGGCGCCGCCTGGTGTTGGGTCTGAGCCCCAAGCGGGAGGTGGACGAGCGTAGCTCCCTGCTGGAGGGGGACCGTCTGGTCAAGGCACACCTGTCGCCCCTGCACCAGCTGGGGCCACCCCTACAGCTGGCGTCCTCGGGGCCCGCGCAGGCGGCCGACCTGTACCGGTGAGTGGCGCTGCGGTGCCCACACTCCATTCGCCCCTAAGCTGACAGTGCAGTGGGAGCTATGCACTCGTGCGACCAATCGGCGACCCTTCACCTGAGCCTGCTCGCTGAGCTCAGGCAGGGGCGGGAGCGTGATTGGGTGGTGGAAGAAGGATGTGTGAGCGGTCCCAACAAACGCGCATCTTCCACCGCACTGGCAGCTTAGGGGCAAACAAAGTACAGAAGACGCGTTTAACTGGTCCGTTTGCCGCACAGTTTTTCATTATTTATCGATACTGCTGGCCTTCTCTGGAAGGCCATTACGGGAGAGGTTGAAAAATGTTTACACAATTGCATTAAACTTGTAACAAACAAAACATATTCGCTGAGAATTACAGAAAGTTATCACTTATAGAAATTTTAAAAAGAAACATGAACACGAGAGAAAAAAAAGCAGCATACTATTTCAGCTTAAATTTGTGGATATATGAGCCTAATATTTGTAAAATTAACGCCAGTCATAACCACAAAAACTTTATTCATGTTTTGTTTTTTTATAATTCTGTATTTGTAAAACGGTGTTTTTAATGAACGAATCATTTGTGTCTGACGAGTTGACAACATATTCCGGTTTAAATATTTTGTCGCGATTTAGACTGCGTGATGGCTCGTGCACTTCATGTAAGTATAGTTTGGGCTCCCTCGATCGCCACCCGCGGCGTCACATTCATGTCACGCAGGGGCCTGTGGTGGAGGTCAATGCAGCAGATCAGTGTCCTGTTGTAGGTGGCTCTCCAGTCTGGCAGCTTGCACAAGCTATGGCAGCGGGGATTGGGAATGCCGCGACGACGGCAACACTCGCGTTCGCTCGTCTCTTTTGCCGGAACTTTTGCGACCAACCGCCGGGATAGCGACATTCGAAGGCATAGACATTAAACACGCCAGTCGAAGACACGTTCAGGCACCGTACAGTGAATGCCCGACCCCCCCCTTCGCAGCGAGTACTGCCGGCCGACAGTGTACGTGGCGGCCAGTAGCCTGGGGCAACCCTACCTGCCTGGCCAGCAGCAGCAGCCCAAGTATGTGCTGGGACAGTTCCTGGCGCCACCCCCTGCCCACCACCACGGCGGGGGCCGGGCCCCGGCCCCCCTGGCGGCGGTGCCGTACGCGGCCCACCCACTCCCGGCCCACCTGCAGCCGGGCCAGGCGCCCGCCGCTGCCCCCGCCGGCGCCGGGACCACCGACTTTCCCTCCCTACGCCGCCTACGGCCTAAACCCGCTGAGCCCCGGCAAGCCCCAGTACCAGCACGTGTACCACATGTTCGGGGAGGGATGACAAGTGCCTCTCGGGGCCCCATATCACCTGTACATAGCCCCCCCCTTCGCTGGACAGGGGGGCCAGCCCCGCCAACCTTTAGCGCCACGGGACGAAACCCGCTTTCCGGTTTTAGCCGCACGCACTGGTCAATGCTTGGCCCCGCCGCCTTTCGGCGGGCCGCCCGGCCGGAGCTCGTGCCGCCGTCGTTCCCACAAGGGAGTCAACCAATGCCGCCCCCGGCACGCACGTCTGGGCACCCGAGCATCGACGGTTGTTTTGCCTTGTAGATAGAATTGCTTCTTGAAAAGCGCCTTGTACAATTTTTGTAGATATGTATTCTGGGCGGTATGCTCTGGGTGTTGTTTTTTTTTTTTTTTTTTTCTGCACGAGTTGGTTAATGTGTACGGTTGCTGTAATTACAATTTTAATTTTTTTTTTCCTTTTTTTTTTTGCATTTCCTTTGGAAATGAAGTGGAGCCGTTTTATTGCGACGAGTCTGGCGGGTTTGCTGTGGGTTGATTTCCTTTACCCCTTTGGAGCGGTGTTGCTTTGGGGCAGAATAAATGTTTCTCACCCGTTGACGGGCGTCTGCGTGCTCTCTTATCGGGACTTCGGGGGCCCTGTCGCAAGGCCGGCGGCCTCTGGCACCCCGTGGGCGCGTGTGACGTTTCGGCTCGCGTGGGAGCCTTCACCTTCGAGAGAAGCGGTTCGAGCCATCTTTGGCGATTCTGGAGCGACGCGTACGGGAGCGCCGCCCTTCTTTCCCATTCCGGGGCCGATATTTGCGTTCGATGTCGGAACCGGCAGACCGGCTACGCCGGCCTCCTCGACCTTGCCGAGTGGGCCGACAAACCAAACATTGGGGGATCGCCATGGCGACGACGGCGCGCCCCACCGGCGCATGCGCGTAGGTTCGCCCGCCCTTTCCGACGTTAGCCCTCGCGTTCTTTTTAATGAGTCAGGCGAGCGGATCGTAGTGGCGTTGTTCGGGAAGTTTCTGCACTCGCGTCTATTAAAGCGCCAGTGACGCCGAGTTGCGCCAGTAGGTCTACCGGACGTGGATAGCCCGTTGTTCAAGTAAGTCGCCTTCCTGTCGCGCGTTTTGTCTGCCGGCTCCGGCGCGGAAGAGTGGGACAGGTGCCCGATAGAGACAAATTGAGACCGATAGTGTGGGGCGGGACGCGATTTTGCCGACGTCCCCTGGCGCGGTCGCGAGACGTGCGGTCGCCGGCAGGGCGTCTGACCCCGGAGTAAAGATAGGACGCTGCTATTCTAGTCGGTCTCTTCGAGACAAGCGCGATTTCCAGGAACGCCGGACGAATAAGCGGCGCCCGACGTATCGGGTGTCAAATTCCTTCCGGATACAGCTGCCAAGCTGCATTTTTATCGAGGGTCTGTATTGCTGTTATGTTGTTTTTGGAGAGCAGACACGTTGCTGCTGACGGTGTAATTTGTGGGTAGACTGACGCGTTTTCCTCTCAAGGGTCGGGTAAAGCCCCTGGCTTTAGGGGTCGGGCGGTTTCTTGCGCCGCCTGCCGAGGAAGTCTTTGAGGACACCGGGTTTTCTTGCTCGCGTGATTTGATTCCCCCTTTGCATAACACGATAACAGGCTCTTGACACTTACCTGACTCTCTATCAAACGCCTGACTGTGCATCCTGTTCATAAGTGAGTTTTTATCATTTCTTTGGGAAGAATTTGAGTGGCAAGGTGAGCTCCGTCGACTCATCGTCAACCTGCCTAGAGTCGAGTGTTGTGGCTGTGCACCTCCCTCCGTAAGTTACCTCTAACGCTGTGGCTGTGTCGTACCTTTAAACGGCAGTTTCTCGCTCACTGGGATAGACGTTAACTATGAAATGTCATCGAGTCATATATGTGACAGATCGAATCATTTTAAATCGTGACCTTTATCAGTAGAATAGTGGGAACTTTATATGCGGTGCATAAACCCTGGCATTGCTCGAGGATGGGTTCCAGCCACTGGTTCCAGCTGCCGCTTTGTTGTCCACTCCAAAAAAGAAAAAAATAATCAAAAGAACCCGAGCGGTAGTGACTTCCATTGTCCACTGCGTGCTCTGGAAACTCGTTCTGGTGCTTCATCCAGGAGCTGTAATCGTAAATGATTGATGGGATCGAGTTTGGCTCTTTGACGTCCGTCGAGGCCACTTGACCAGCCCACACAGAATATCGCCCACCAGAATTGCGGGGTGCGAGACGGACGCACCCATATATGGGCCTTGTCTGCTCTTGATGGCGAAAAGAAGTGACACTGCGTGACTGCATCTCCTGATCTCTTTTGCGCGGTCGAGTTTAGACGAGGGGTGGGGGGAGCATTGCTTCCGTTTGAGAAATTTCGCGCCGTCGCCAACGCGGTACACCTCCGCAGTTCCGTCTCCAAAACGCCAGCTTGCCACGGGCAGCGGTTCGTGTTTGCCGCTCATCTTATTGATAGAGCTGTAGCGGAGTTTGTCTCTCGCGGACTCCGTGATGACGGCAGTCGGACCAGTGGGCGCACTGCAGTGCATGGCGCCTGTCGTTAACCCGTGTCGCAACGCCGCTGCTGTGCTCTTGCCCAACTGCTCGTTGCTCACGGAAATGGGGTAATCTCCCCCCTGCGCCGTCGAGCGTCTCGCTGGCGCCAGCTTTCCCGGTCGGCCGCCTGGGGTTTTGACGACACCTGGGCGATAAAATCGCGGATCGAACACCGCGGCGCACGACGTTTGAGGTGTGGGCTTTGGTGATGGGAGGCAGTGGGCGCCGCACATTAGGAGGCCCCGCCGCTTGTACCATGTGAAGCGTACTGTCGCGCTGCTGCAACACCACCTGATGGCCAAGCCAAGGTGCCCAGTGTTCGGTGTCTTAGAAGGCTATTGTGGGGCACAGAATTCGGCACTGCAGCAAGTTGCTTAGACATGAGGAAGATACATAGAAAGGGGGGACGGACAACGAAGACTTCCAATCCTGGACAGCAAGTTGCTGTCCAGGATTTGTTGGCTGCCGTCGGCCAGTGATTCAGAAACCTTCGTGTGCGCAGATCATCACCATGGCTCCCGAGCGGCGTGTACCCATCCAGAAGTCCGAGCTCAGCATCCTGGACAACGAGTTCAGCTCGATCCGGGAACGTTTCGAGGCCGAGATGAAGAAGATGGAGGAGGAGATGTCCCGCTTCCGCTCCCAGTTGCTGGACCACGAGCGGGACTTCTTCTCCAGGGCCCCTGGCTCGCAGGTGAGGGGCCATGGACGTTTGCAGAACCAACACCACCTAGAAGAACCGAAGTCCCTGAACGGCCTTCCCTACCGCCACATAACATTGTCACGCAAGGACGGTGCCAGTTCTGCAATACACTGATCTTACAGCCAGTTTCATTACTCCACCGCTGCCGCCATGCATTGCGAGGTCTGTAGTCTTTATGCACACGCAGCAACCATGCTGAGGAAGAGCACGGGGCGGCACAAGTTCCCTCAAGCAGTGGCGCTAGCTTCCTAGTAACTACAGATATGGCGGCATCACATACGCATGGAACTTTCAGTGAGAACAGTCTATTGGACCCAAGCCCGACGCAGTGACCATAGTGGGTGACAGGTTGAGAACCCAATAGATACTATGCTTCCAGCATGTGCTTGTTGCTTTCCAGCAAGCTTTGGGTGTGTGACGAGGTGTTGTCAAAGGCAGAAAGCTCGCGCTCGAGGCAGAGCATATACTGATTTCTTCACCTGTCGTCGGGTGCAGACACGAGGCCCAACCAAATGCTGACACAGCAGTTATGTCCAATCTTTCTGCACCCTATCTCACCATGATGACATCAAGAGTCTACACTCCGTTTGACCAAGTTTGACCGCAGCCAGCGCTACCATTCGTTGGAGCCAATCAAGTAGTGGCGAACGTGCATTGTCACGGCGCTTGTAGTTTTTGTCGGTTTCCTATCATATGGGCTGAGCCAATCGCGCATTGAAAAAAGCGCAGGATTGCAACATGTTTTCCGTGCAGGATTGGTTTGGTTGGGAATAGCAAACGGCATTGGGAGTGCCGTGATGATGCACTTTTGGCACTACTCGACTGGCTCTATCGGATCGTATAGTGTCGGCTGCGGGCAGACTTGAAGTGAAAAAAAGTACAGTGCGCAGACTTTAGTTCCCGAGCCCGACGCATTAATTGGACGACGTCCGGCCGAACGCCGACGCAGCAGTCATGTCCTCCAGTCTGTGTCCACGCTCAGTCTCGTTGTGATGGCATCAAATTCTAGTGCACAAGCTTTCATTATTTTGGGTGGCGTTAAGGTGACCCCTCCGCACGCCCATTGCTTGGGCAAAACCATCTATCTGCCCCTGCATCGTCCAAGCCCCGACAGTAGCTCTCTGGTTGCAGACTGGCCTTGGTACGGGCAGCAAGACGTGGCTGGACGGCATGAACTCGCCCCTGATCCAGGATGCCGAGGACGGCAGCAAGCAGCTCAAGCTCCGCTTCGACGTTTCCCAGTATGTTCCGGAGGAGATCGTCGTAAAGACCGTGGACAACCGGCTCCAGGTACGCCTCTTGCGCTTACGCATTCTGCTACTGCGCTTTGCTTGCCTACGTTGGTGTGGTCTGTAGGTGAGGCTGCCTTTCGCCAGCAAACCGTGGTAGGTGTCAGCAAACATTGCGTACGGTCACCTTCACAGTGATTGGGCTCCCTTTTCTTGGGTATGATTCTGGTCGTTGCGAGAGAGCTGGCCAAGCTGAGCAATTTGTACCGTGTCCTTGTGCAACAACATCTCAGCACTAAGGGTGGGGAAGGACAGTCGATTATAGCACTCATAATTGGTTCCAATGATGTGGCAGCCAGAGTTGTTTGAATTAATTACATTTTTATTTACAGAAGATTACTCTGGCGGGCCTCCAGTCAAAAAGCTGCCATGAGATAACTTGACTGGGTCACGGGCCCTAATGCAAAACAAGTACAACAATGTTGCAGAAATATAAGAATGAAAGAGTAGGAAATAGAAAAACATTCACAACGTTCCTTATACAATAATTATAGACTTCCGCCTAACAAGTAAGGCGTGCACCCAAAAAAGAGTAAAGCACAACAAGGTAAAAAAGTTCTACAGCATGTAGTGAAATGAAAAGCAAGAAACATACAACGCACCATACACAGAAATTCCGTCTAAATAGAACACATACAGCTCAGCTGTATAGACGCTTTGCAGCAGCTCTGCATGGGCGCCGCCATAACTGACCTTCAGTTTTTGTTCCCCCTTATTGCGTTTACTTCACTTCATTATTGCCATAGCAGGCCAGGTTATTGACATCTTAGATTTTATTCTGTCTTTCTCCCCAGCATTGGCCTTTGTGGAGGCTCACCACGCCAATTTCAGTGGCTCGGTATCTCGGTAAAACAAGAGAAGGTCAGCAATGGCGGCTGTATTCTGGCGCGTGTGTAAAGCGTCTATATGATGGTCAGGGAATATATATGTTTTCTACCTGATATCTATTTAGTAGGTATCTATTCAATAGGTTTGAAAACTCCTCAAGTTGTTGTTTTTGCCCTCCCCTCTTTAACTGCAAGGGCATGTGATGTCGGAGTTAAAAGATGGAGGGCATGTGGGAAGGGAGGACGCCAGGAAAAGTGGAGAAAGAAAGAGAGATAGAGAGGTGACATAAGAGAAGTAGGGTAGGTTGTTCTAGCGGGAATGCTGAGCTGGTTCCCTGTAGTGGAAAATGCAAGGTGTTGATCGGTCTTTTAATAACTCTGCCGACTGATGTCATGTGTGCATTTGTGCTGGCCACGCAGGTCCACGCCAAGCACGAGGAGAAGTCCGAGAACCGCTCGGTGTACCGCGAGTACAACCGGGAGTTCCTGCTGCCCAAGGGCACCAACCCAGAGCAGATCCGCTCATCGCTCTCCAAGGATGGCATCCTGACGATAGAGGCGCCCCTGCCAGCACTCGAGGCGCCCAACCGGGAGCGCACAATCCCCATCGACAAAAAGTAGACTGCGCCCTTTTCGGTCGATGCATGCCTGCCGCTTTCGGAGCTTCCTTGGCAGCTATAGGCCTTTTCTAGTGACCTTTCCGTGTTTTTTTTCTTTCCTCGTCTAAGAGGTGCCTTTCTCGCGAGCCTGTTTTAGCTCACTCCGGGACCATAGTTTGGATTGTACACCGCAACTGCTTTCCGGCCAGCACGTGAGTGTCCTAGGTGGCAGAACTGCTTCTGGCCCCCGAGCCGCTTGTCGTCTTCGTTGTGCGACGGGCCTCCTCCGCCCGCAGCGGCGAAAGGCCAGTTGGTACGACACGTCGCCACGCAGCTGTTGAAAGCCTGTGTGTGCAGAGAATAAAAATTTCTGTTGACCCCCTCGCCCTCTGTTCTTCCGACTGGTGCACCTAGTGTCCTGTTCTGCCCGTGCATCAAAAGTGGTCCCAAAGTGTCAACAAATGATACGAAAGTCGAAGTGTCGTGTTGTTGGATGTCCCGAGTCTGGGGTGGTTGGACATAGACGTTCTGGAAACGAAAGCACGAGACTATGTGAGAGTCGCTGTCATCGCGACGTCCCAACTCCTAGCTGCCGAGGCTTCTATAGACTTGAGCTGGAGGGCGACCTGCAGCAGAACAGGCATGACACTGCAAAGACGTTATCGAGCAGAAATTAAGGAAGCACTTTTTAGGATGCAGTAAATGCCAGTCGGAGAGGGGAGGCACTCACTTGATCGAATGACGTTTTAGCGAACGCCCACGTTTCATCGAACGACACTTTAGCGAATAGTCGGCGGCGTTTTCGGGTGGGCCAAGTGAGTTCATATTTTTGTAATGAGTTGCCGTAGACTGTCGCCGCGAAGCGGCGTAAAGCGCAGCGCAACGGATGGGTTAACGCGCGCCCCCGTTATTCGCTAAAACGACCATTCGCTCAAATGTCGCCGTTCGCTAAAATGTCATTCGCTCTTGTGATATGGACCCGTCGGAGAGGAGTTCCAGGTACCATAGCCATACTGTGCCGCCAAGCCTGTTTTTGCTTTCGAGGTGTTTGGCTAGATATGTGGTGTGTCCTGCAGCTCATGGACCTTGCATGCTTTGTATAGGTATTCAATGTGGTGGCCTTGCTGCTGAGCACATACGACCCTGGTCGGTGTGCTGACATGCTGACCCTGGTCAGTGTGCTCAAATTTGTTTGGCTATACATGTGAAGCGGATAGGTGACTGAGATGCTAATGTAGAAAACTAACATGTTGATTTTTAAGTGTTACAGAGTGAAAAAAAAATTTATATTTTAATGCACTTGGCTTTTTATCGTTAAAACTGCATGATGCACGAACACGCCGATTAGAACCATGCAGTAGCAGCAGCACCAGGCCCGACAATTCCTGCCACCATCTCCACCGCCACCCACGCTCTGGTTCTTCCTTAGTGCGCGAGCGACGGGCTGGAGTTGCGAATATATTTTCCACCATTGAATTCGTTTTTCTTAGCAAGAAGTACGACTGACCACCAGAGTCCAGCATTGTGCGGTGATGCATAAAACCCCTTCATGTTTTAAAAGTAGCGCAAGCCTCAAGGTGCGTCGCTGACCCCCGTGCGTGCGTACTGAACAATGTCTGCACGTGTGGCTCGGCCCTCAGGTTGCTCAGACCGTCGAAAAAGTGCAACTCACTGCTCAAAATAAAAGCAAAACGAAGAAGCCGGCTGGTTGGGTGGACAAAAACCGTGCGCTCCGAGTGCAGTATGCAGTATGGGAGGGCCCCTGAAAAGGGACCAAGCAGGGAAAAAAAGTTTCGAGTGACGTCCGAAGGCGTGGTCAACAGGGAAATACTTGGTTACAGAGAGTTCTCACGCTCCTGCGTGAGAACTCTTTCCAGTGCCCACCGCGCACGGTAGGTGCTCGAAGTGCTTGCCGCGCAAAACAAAGCTACACCGACCGGCGGACCGCGGGAGGTGAACGAGGGTCGGAAAGCTATTGCCGCTCGAAGGGGATCTTTCCCGCCATCCCTACACAGGGGAAAAGAGGAGATCTCCATGATCGTGCCATCAGGCAATTGCATCAGGCCACAGATACCGGCCTTTTACTTTTCTCCGCATTTTCTCGGAGTTGCCGCGTCGCCCGCGGTTTCCTGACACTTTGCTTTACTTCGCAATTTTAGAGCGCAGCTTTAGGCGCCCGTTTCCGGCTTGAGCGGCGTCGCCGTAACCGCGCGGTGCATTTAGGTAAATTTCCCCGCTAAATCTAGCGGAAAAATTTCCCCGTTATATCTAGCGGAAAAACTTCCTCGCTAGATTTAGTGGAAAAAATTTTCCGCTAAATCTAGCGAAAAATTCTCTGGGGGGTCACGTGACCCCCCAGGACACGTGACCTTCAGTACCAGACAATCGGCTTGCCGGCCTTGCTCATAGATGGCGACAACCTTTCCAGCCTTTCCATTCTGCTTTTTACCAGAGTGGAAAGGCTGAATTTCTCTAGGCGTCGCCCTAGATGTCGTCCTAGAAGTTGTCCTTGAGGTCGTCCCAGACGTCATCCTTGAGGTCTTCCGAGAGGTTGTCCTCGAGGTCGTCCTAGAAGTCATTCTTGAGGTCGTCCTCGAGGGCATCCTAGAAGTCATTCTTGAGGTTGTCCTCGAAATTGTCCCAGAAGTCGTCCTGGACGTTGTCCTCGAAATCGTCCTAGAAGTTTTCCTTGAGGTCGTCCGAAGGTTGTCCTATGGTGTCGTCTAGATGCCGTCCTCACGGTCGTCTTAAAAGTCGTCCTTGAGCTCGTCCTTAGCCGTCGTCATTGAGGTCGTCCAAGAAGTTGTCCGACCATAGTACAGCTTTGCTGGTCTTCCTTCACCAGAGTAAAAAGGCAGAAAAGTTGTTTTTTCTGGAATTTCACGGACAAAGGTTGTGCCGCGATTCGGTGGGTGGGGAAATGGTTTACGCGAGAAGCCCTTCTTGAGCGAGGGACTGCCTACAGATGTAGCATATTGAGGGAATAAAGTATCCCAACTCCCAAGGCAAAAGGCCTTAGCAGCGACACAGGTTAGCAAGGGAGATAGCACTGCAGCCTGTGTTCAAGCGCAGCTTTCACGGTGGCCATCGGAGAAATCAAAGAATCGCGGCATTCTAGCCTGTATTTCTGCGCCTGGTTTTCGAAACGCCATTTGACGTTCTTCGTGAGCCAGCCTATGTTCAGGCAGGCACCCTATTAAAGGGTGCCCACCTGAACATAACAGTCCGAGCTTACAACTATAAGCTCACCGTTTCACCCTCTTTTCAAAAAGAGCCATAAAAACGGGAACATGCCGAAATAAGAAAAGGGAATCACCGGTGAATGTTTACCACCGAAGGACAAGCGTGTCCACCAATAATAAAGCTTTTCTTTTTATTTTTAAGAATGCATTGTTGTAACTTTTCACAGGAACGATGCTGCGCAGAGAAATTTCCCAGGAATGCATCCATGATTAAAATGCACCTTCATTAAAAATGAAAGCGTTCTACATGTAGGCACCCGATTTTTCACTGCATTTTACATAGACTCCTTAGATCGATGCCGCCGTATAGCCACTATTGGATCAGATTGTGTCAACATCTCGATTGTTTCGCGACAGAAATTGACGTATGGTATAGGTAGTCATAATAAGCTGTCTATGAACTGTAAAATCTCGACAATGGTTGTTTTTGCTATTTTAATTTTTTTTTAACCCCCCCCCCCCCTTTATTTTTATGTTTACAATTCTCTGTAATGCCAAATTAGAGCACAGCTCTTGAGGAGGAGGAGGGGAGGGTATGAAGGGAAAAGTTTCAACCCCCAAAGCCCCCCCCCCCCCCCCCCCCCTTTACCTACGCCACTGCTGGCGATGTTATAATAGTGTGGCATTTTTGCAAGTAAAGCGAGAGTACAGGCGAGCTGGACGAAGACAAACAGTAACGCAGGAGCAGGAGTTATGCGACGTCCATCCCCCTTAAAAATGATAGACACTTTGAAGTCCACGTGGTTGGAAGTGAATAGAAATCATAGACTCGCCCTACTACACAGGATATTCATTAGTCAGTCAGAAGAGCCCTAACAATGAATAAAGTGACAACTTGAGAAGACAAAGTTTAAGATGTGAAAACTTTTCCTGTGCATTTCCTGTGCAGCAGTCTTTATTTGGACGTAAAGCACACTAGAACTGGTTTATAAGTCGATTTGAAAGAATAAAATTGGCGACCCTGCCTTCTTTCATTTCAGCATAGCTTGGCAAACAGCGAAGTGCGTGACAGCTCTCACTCCACAGGTATACATTCGACTGTGCATCGGTGCATACAGACGCTCAGATTTGTTCGCCAGCATCGTAGCTTTCGCCATGTGCCAAGTTATACTGAAATGGATTATAGTGGTTTATCGACAAATTCAGTTCATTTGGTTACAAATTTCTAAAAAGAAAAGGCAAATATGGGGTGGCTCCTTCCATGATGTCAACAAAGAATGGGGATGGATGAATCTGCCATAACATGACGCTTGTAACATTCCTTTGTGTCTCGTCTGAAACGAAGAGCAGAAAAAAAAAAAGGAATGCAATTAGTGCACAAGCTTGACACTGCTTAAAACACTTCACAGCAATGCAGGCAGGACACGCATTTATAGACCCAATTCTTCCCATTGCATTACTCGGTAAGACAAGGCAATCAGGTTAAACCCTGTATGAGCCTAGGCAGATGGCAACATAGGTGCAGAGAACAAGTAGGCCATCCATTAAATGACAGGCAATACAACGATAGGTTCCACAGCAGCAGTCCCAACTTGGGCATGCAAAAGCTTAATTCCATTTTCTTTTCCCTATTCAAGAAATTTATACTTTCCGGCTACTACAGAACGCGGTTACATGGTCTTCGCTTAGCTCAAACACGTGAGAGTCTGTATAACTTTTGTTTCACTATAAGTCAGAGTGCAGTCACAGGCCACTAGGGGATGGGGGAAGGGAGGGGAGAATGGCACTATGCATATTGGTTAAAACGTAGGAGTGATAAAGAGATGGAACACCATCCATTCGTCTGCTTCACTTGTCCATTGTCTTTTGGTGCTTTAATTCGTTCCACTCTTCAAAACTGTTTGCAAAAGCAGATTCAACCAACCGACCTTGACGATCCAAATTTAGCTTCACGGACTCGTGGGTGCAGAATTGGGCATCAGTCCCTGAACACTCGACGTCCACGACCGAGGCCCATCAGCCTCATGCCGGCGCTCAGGCCGTCGGTGCCGTTTTCACTCGGCGTTGTCGAAGCTACGAATTGGGACAAAAACGCAGATTGTTAGAGGACCACCTTGTCACACACGCGCTATGCGAAAAGTGTCGCCCCGTACGGGCCTCCCTGCTGATAACCAGATCCGCCCCTAGAGACCTAAAAGTGAG